TATGGAAGTGATTATTGATAAATCAAAATAAATTAATAAAAACAAACAAACAAGCAAAAACCCAAAACCCTGCTGGACTGGATATCCAGGAGGAGGCTATCAAGACTTTAAACAGGAACAGTTCTCAAAATATAGAAAGTGGCAAAAAAATAATAATAATAAAATAAAATCTGGATTTATATTGGGTTTGATAAACTAATTACAGAAAATTACTATTCACAACATGGTTGATCTGTGCTCTGAATGGTAATTTCTGGTACCACCTTTGTAACTATAAAAGCAAAAGGTATAACTACTCTCTACTAATCTTGGAATGTAACTAGTATAGAATGCCAAAATTGGTAGATGAATGGAATAATTTATGCAGCTGATTTAGAGATTCATTCAACTGGATTGACGTCGTTTGGCTAACAGGTTTTGTTTTGTGTTCCATGTTTTAAATGCATGATATTTTATGTTATTATCATGTTTATGAATTTCTTGCATTGTGATCTTGGGATATCATTGAATAAAAGTGATGCTGAACTTTGGGAAGATACCAAGAATATGATACATGTACATCTTTAGGAGGTTAGCTTCTTTTTTGAACTGGATGCCGTAATTTTATAACTTTAAGATCGTTAGAGACTTCTCTGCACGTCCTAGGGAAGGATTAGAGAATTTTATTTCTACTTTTCCACTCCCTAATCATCTTTTAAAGGGAAATATTTGAACAGTAGGATACACTGCCACTGAATGCGGAGAATAGAGTCAGTCTAGGAGAAGAGCAGAGATCCTTTGATCTCAGCTAAACAACCCATCCAACAGATGCGAAGGAGAACTGTGTGAGGACTCTATGAAGAGAGAATGGACTTCCCAACCCTGCAACACAAAAAGTGAGTGAGTTGCCTTTGCTACAGATGCATCCTGCCTAGGTGTCTCACTACCACTGTACTCCAAGTATAAGCCCTTTTTCCTCATAGACATGGTATGTATTTGTGGGAGAGTACATTTGAGGCTTATGAGAGGAGTGTCATAACTGTCATGCTTGCTATGCCATTTGAGTAAATGCTTTTGCAAAGAACTAATCATGAATACTGGCTGGTAGTTAATGAGAGGTACATTTGTGGGGGCTTGTAAGTTACAGTATTAGAAACAGCCACCTTAAAACTTGAGGTAGTGGCCACCATCTAAGGACCCAACTTGAGAGTTCAAGCACAACTCTGGAGGAGTATCCTAGAAAGGGATCTTATAGTAGGATCATAGAACTAGAACTATAAGGAATCTCAGAGGCTATCTTGTTCAATCTCCTCATTTCACAGATGACAAAACTGAGGTCAAGGGAGGGTAATTGACTGGCCCATGGTCACATAGGGTAGAATTTGAACCCATTTGTTCTCACTCAAGGGCCAACGTTCTTTTGCTAGACTGTGCTGCCTCTATATTTTGTACATATTTTGCATTTATTTTTCTATATACCTGTTGTTTTCTCCAATAGAGTTGTAAGCTGCTTGAGAGTAGGGACAGTTTCAGTTTAAAAAAAATTTTTTTTTGTATCCTTGGTGCTTAGCACAGTGTCTAGCTCTTAGCAGGCATTTAATAAATGCTTATTGAAATGAAAAGTAATCATAGCAACTTCTTTCCTTGCTAATTAAAATGGTGAAAAGCCCAAAACAGAGATAAAAAAAATTAGGAAATCAGAGAGAACACACTTCTTCAATGTCTTTATAAGGCACAGAACTATTGCTCACTGGTATCTGACTCTTCGTGACCCCATTTGGGGTTTATCTTGGCAAAGATACTAGAGTGGTTTGCTATTTCTTTTTCTAGCTCATTTTATAGGTGAGGAACTGAGGCAAATAGGGTTAAGAGACTTGCCCAGGGTCACATAACTAGTAAGCATCTGAGGTCAAATTTGAACTCATGAAGAGTTCTCTTGACCCCAAGCCCAGGGTTCTATCCACTATACCACCTAGCTGCCCCAAAGGGTACAAGGCAGAGGTATTAAGGATTCCATTTTATCTGGCACATTCTACTTGCTTTATATTGGTGTGAAACTACAAAAGCCTAGAAGAGATCCTTAGGGAGGAAATATAGAAGCAAGATAGAGGTGGGGTTGGGGGTCAAGGTGAGGAAAGGGCTCAAGAGGATAGACATAATCAAATCTTCCTAATTAAGGGCAACCAATCTGGACTGAATATGCTTAATACATTTGTAACAATGACTCTGGTGGGGTCTCCCCATATGAAAAAGTCTAGGAGCGTGCTTCTAGGAGAGTTGTGATGATGAGTACCTGAGGATATGGAGAGATGTGGGAGTATGGATAAGCATTCTGTAACTGGTTCAGGTCTGCTGGCCATGAGAGTAGCCTCTTTGATTAGCTACAGTTGTGGAACTGTAACTAGAGGCTCCTTCAAAAACGTCTCAACCCCCTCAATTTCACTCTAGAACATTCTGTTCAGCTCTTTTCTTCTTGATTTTATTTCTTTGCTGATGGCATGCAGGGAAAGACAATGCACATAAAGAGAGGCTCTGGGCCATGCCCACTATAGCTGACCTGTGACCTATGTCCTTCACCTCTGCATTTTTTCTTTTCCACACTAGGTGAAGACATTGAAGAATGAAACCTTATGAGTCTTCAAAGGTCAGAAGAGTGAACGAACAGGTGTCCTATCTTCCCAGTCTTTTTTGCAGCGAGACCAGCATCATTGTCCCTAGAAGCAAAGGGTGGCCTTTGGGTTCCAGCCTACTGGTAGCTGAGATGAGGACAAATCCACTAGAGATGGAGCATTTGGACATGAAGTTGGTAGGACCAATGCTATGGAGAAACTGTCCCACCCTCTCCAGAGACTAAGGTGCGATAGAGTAGAGTATGCCCCCATGGTATTAGGTGAAGATGCTTGTACTATTGTTCTTACTAAATCTTCATAGAGAATATCCCTTTTAAAAGTATATTGATGTTAAGGGATTAAATGGAATTGGGGCAGTAGTAGTTGGTAGCTAGTAGTGTGTGCATGCATGTGTGGTGGGGGGTAGACAACCCTTTTATAGCTGAGGAAACTACAACAAACAGTGGTCAAGTAACATGCAGATGGTAAAACAGAGGACAACTGACATGCAGATAGTAAGTACCTAAGGCTAGATTTGAATTCAGGTCTTCCTGACTCAAAGTCCTACACTCTATCCACCATGCTACCTCACTGCCTACTAGCCCAGCAATTCCACTAAGAAGAATCTCCTTCTGCTGCTGAGTATGTGACCTTGGGTGAATAACTTTACCTCTCTGACCCTCAGTTCCCTCCTCTGGCAAATGATGAGATGGGTCTAGGTCTACTCTGAGGTTCCTCCAACTCTGACATTCATCACATGCTCAAAGAACTTGCTAAAATTCCAAACTAAGGTAATAGAGCCACAATCATAACCCCAGTATCCTGACTGCCAATCTAGGTTGTTAGTTTTATGAACTAAAAGAAACCGGAACCAACTCTAGGGACAGGAAGGATTTTATCATCTCTCCTGGCCCCTGGGACCAATCCCATGGGATTCCAGTGGCTACAGATAGATACTGGAGATTCAAGTTCATCCAGAGTAGTGGAAGGGGCTTTGAAAAATAAAAAGAGGATATGGGAGGATCCAGGAGAAAGAGCAAGGGTTATGGATTCACAGATTTGCATCCCTTATATTTCCCAAAGTTCCAGGGAAATCATGGCTTTACCTGTTTGCTGTTATATATAATAGCAATATCAATTTTTCATCCAGACTCCATTTCTCCAAAGAACTTTCCATCCATGAACTCATTTTCTCTTAGATGGATATCATCCCATTTTCCTCATTAGGAAACTAGGACCGGGAAGTATTGAGTGATTTGATCAAAATGACAGTTACTTAGCTGGGGGTAGTGGGGAACTTAACCAAAACCCATTTCTCCTGATTCTGACAAGTACAGACCAATTAAGTACCTTCTGAGTGCCCAGTCTTGGCTTTGCACCTGCCCTGGAGAGTGTCCTCAAGACACAAAAACATGCCCAGCCTCAACTGTTACCACCACTCATGCATTTAATTGGTGTCAGGGAGAATGAGCAATGACCATTCCATCAATGCCGAGATAGGGAAAAGTTTATTACAAGAAAAACCCAGGAGAAAGAATAGGATGCCCAGAAAGAAACTTCAGATGTGGAGAGTGGATCCAAATGCAGGGAAGAGGAACCTCATGGACCTCAGTGAATCGAATGTGTTTCATCTCATCTAGTGTCAACTCCAACACAGAAACCCATGTCTCTTCTGTTGGGGGTCCTTCAAGCAGGAGAAAATTTGAAGACAAGAAATGCTTCTGTCAGGAGCAAATTTGAGCCAGGATAAATCTGTGATTTCACATCTCTGGGATTCTCAAATTCCACAGTCCTACATTTCCAGGATTCACAGATTCACAGATTCTAGATTCTAATATTCCAAAATTCAACATTCATAGAAAATGTATTGGAAAACCCAGAAATTAAAGGTATATAGCCCTTACCCATTTGAAGGAAAGGTTCATCTCTTTTGAGAAAGCTTACAATTTAAGATGCAGTGAATGTCCATGAATTAATATTTCTGAAAGAAAGAACACGTGTCTCAAATTTGGGGAGCCAAAGTGAAGCTGAGGGTACTGAGGATCAGTCTCTAGTTCCAACTTTGGGAACTTTGAGAAAAGTTCTTAAAGGAGCCTGGGATTAAGGATTCTGAAGAGGCCAGAACCTACCACTGGATTGATCAGCAACCTTTTCTCTGGAGGACAGCCCATTTTCAACAGAGAGGGCACTAATAAGCTCAATTGAATTTCCCTGCAGCCCAACATGAAATCTTGTTATAGGATCATAGATGAGAGGTAGAGAGGACCTTAGACTTTATATAGTCCAATCTCCTTAATTTATAGATGAGGAAATTGAGGCCCTCCACAGGGGTCTGGAGCTAGATGAGAAGTAAAAGCAGGACTTAACTGATGAGATCCCAGGTTTGTATCCATTTTGGGTGGTAAGTTCTTAAATGTCATGTGTGACAACATGGAGATAGGGCAAAACCATCTGAGCAATCCAGTCACTTATAGACAGAGAGGAAGAATGTTTGGTCAGAAACTTACCAGCCACGTCATGTACCAAGGTAACATCCAGACTGCTGAGGACCTCATTAACCAGAGGGCACACCTAAAACACAAGCACAGAAGGAAATGTGAGATGAATGAATCAATAAAAAGAACCAGAACGGAGATCCCATGGGACTTCTCATCACTGAGGTACCCTGATCTGGAAAGATTGTCAATGGTCTGAAGAACATTGAATATCAGAGCTGGAAGGGTCCTTAGAACATAGATAATTCAATGTTAGAGCTCAAAGGGACTTTTGAAACGACCTCATTCAATCCTTTCATTTTGTAGTTGGGGACCCTGAAGCCCAGAAAAAGTCATACAGCAAGTCTGTGGCAGAGATAGGATCCCATCCCATCCCAATGAGACAGCATAGTGTAGTAGGAAAGTGCTGGGCAATCAGGAAAACCTGGGTTCAAATCCCACTTCAGACATTTANTGTGGCAGAGATAGGATCCCATCCCATCCCAATGAGACAGCATAGTGTAGTAGGAAAGTGCCGGGCAATCAGGAAAACCTGGGTTCAAATCCCACTTCAGACATTTT